TGCTCCCTCTTCTGTTTTGAAATCATTATCACAAATTGAGGTTGGAGGGCATAGCAGTCTAGATGTGCACATTAGACACTGATGGGCCCTCGCGAATTGATTCTTATAAAAGCTGTAAAGACTACATTTATGAATTTATGATTTAAAATGGTATTATTTAATTATATATTATTATTATATTTTCCTCTAACATTGGTGGGTTTATGACTTTATGATATTATTTTATATAAGGGTTTGAATTTTGCATAATGTTTTATTTTATAATAGTACACCACTAAGCATAATTCTTAGCGATATGTTAAGAACTTTTTGCGTGTCGCAGGAAAAGGCAAGGAAAAAGGAACTAGGAGGGATCATTTTTATTAGACGTAGATAATATGCTACTGATGTAGCTATTGTATATTGACTTCTTTTGGAATATGTATGATGTATTTAAACTGATTACCAGAACATCTATGTATATACTAGCAGGTAATAAATGTAAATTATTGAATATAGATAATAATGAATTTTCTATATGTATCTAAGGTTTTGAAAAGGGATTTCAGTATGTATTAAACCATCCATGGGCTTATGAGGATTGTAAATGGAACCAAAGAATTCCTCCTACGTTTTCTTGTCTTAATATTAATTTAGTCCATATAAGCCAATCATATTGAGCTTAATGGAAGTTGATTTTTATATGCTTTTAGTAAACTTACAGAAAAAAAAAAACAAACGAACATTTCTCAGCCTTGCCCTATCTCCACCACAGATGAAAGAACCAAAAAGGACGTTTGCTACATTTAATAGATTAAATCTCTACTTTTTTTACTACAACCCTTAATTAGATCCGGAATCCACATAGTATTCCTAAGCGCCCTTGTAGTCCTCCAATCTTCATGTCCGCTCCAATACTTCCCAGTAATGCACTTTATCAAGACTTAAGATGTGCGTGTGAGTGTGAGGTGGACTTACGCAAAGGCTGACAGCCATATCTTGCCTACTCAGATAAGGTAAAGGGTTGTACAAGCCCATAACTGATTCTTCCGACGGAGTGTCTCGATACTTAGTAAGCATTTATAAGACTTAAGTGCTTATTAAGTATATTACGGGTGACATGCCATATCTTACAGTAAGGTAAGGTGTGACAAGCCCACTGATTCTTCACGAGTGTCTCGCCAAAAGGCTAAGGTAAGTCCTCTATGGTCATTAACTCAATTCTCTTCATTTAAAATGGCTCCAAAGAGCCTTTCTTTTTAAATTTGGCAATCCAACACCAAAACAATCTTTCTTACAAATAGACAATTCAATACCTTGAAAAACATGATAAACAAGGTCTTTAATGAACCTGTTTTTCTCAATTAAAATAAATCAACACCCATTTTAGCATGGATAGAACTGCTTGGTTCTAATTCCCATTATAAAGGATACACAGGCAGGCTCGATTATCTAAACTCATATTGCGGACTAAATTCACCAAAAACCACCTATTTTGTTCTTCTTTTCACATTGCAATTGGGAGATGTGTGATTGTCCTAGAACCTCCATCAAGGGGCTAGAGATAATACTTCCTAATTTTGTAGTTTAGTTTTCACTTTATTTTATTTTTTTCTTCATTGCTTTTTCTTCTTTTTTTGCTTTCTATAAATGTCATTCTTAATGTTTGGAAATGGATCAATAAGTATGATTTCTGATCTAATTGTTGCAAATGAATCATGCTCCTGATATTGCTCAAATCTGATCATATTTCCACAATTATAAGGATTAGAGCATGTGCAACCAAATATGGGCCTAAAATTTTCCAATTCATCCTAAAGTATCTTCAAATCAGTAAAGTAATTTGATACAGATCTCTCACATTGTCTAAAAGAATTTATCTCCTCTTTTAAAAAAGAAATCCTCAACACATTCTCTTGAGAAAACCTCTCTTTAAGATCCTTCCATATATCTTTTGCTTTCTCAATCTAAATAATACTCTAAGTTATAGATGGACATAAATAATGAATTAACTGTGATAAAATCATAGTGTTGCAGTGTTTCCACGCAGAATATGTATGATTTGTAATAATAGGACTTCCCAAAGTCCCATTTATGAATTTTAACTTGTTCTTAGACAACAAAGCCATCTTCATAGCTCTAGATCAGGAATGATAGTTAGGACCAATAAGAACAGGAGAAACTAGAATTAGAGCTGGATTCTCATTTGGATGGAGAAAATATGTACTCAATGGATCTTGAGTCAAATAAATTACAAGTGTAGTCATAACTTGTTCAAACATGAAATATAATGAGCAACTTTTGATTTAAAGTATATCAATATAATCAAGATTGAATGAAGAACAAGGAAAAGTAATTTTGGTATGTTACTTTGAAGTAAAACACGAATTATGACGTGTTTGGTTTCAAAGAAAATGAAGGAAAATGGAAAAGAAAATATTAGATTGATAGCCCTGCTACCATGTGAATTTTTGTGAATTTGAAAGAAAATATGAAATTGAGAAAAACAATAGTTCTCATTAATTGGTTAATTTGCTTTACAAGTATATATGTTTATCTGTATAAAGAAGAAAAACATACTAAACTAACACAAATTACAGCTCCAATAAATTACACAAATGACATCTCAATCCGTGTATGCTAGCTAATTGCCTTCTCTTGGCTAACTTTCCCGTCAACTTTCTATTGCTGCTGTAGAATATAATACTAATTGATGGCTTATCCATCTCCAACAAGAATTGATTTTAAAAAAAAAATTCATTCTTGTTTTTAAAAAAAAAATTCATTTATGAATGAATTTTCATGTTTAAATTAACTATTGAATCCACTTCGAATATATAAAGTGTGGTCTGTATGATTATTTGTAATTCTTGATATTATTTGTAAAGAATTATATTTCAAAAACAGTATCTTATTCATTTATTCAAACATCAGCAACAGTTTAAAAGAAGAAAAAAATGCTAAAGTTTAAATGAATTTACGAACTTAATAAACTCATCGGAGTTCATTGTCAACACGTAGCTATTCTTCATCTTCATCATCATCCTCACAGCTTCATCAAATGCTTTCTTTTCATGTTCTTCCCCGTCAAAGAACGATTCACCATCATCAGCATCACCAACATCATAATCACCACTTCCATTTCTAAGCACGTCATCAACAGGTCTAATAACAACAAGGGTTGCCCCTTCATCAAGTAATTAACCTGTTTCCGGTAACTCTAACACAGGCAAATACCATACCTTCATATATAAATCCGGTATTCGGCTCCTTTCCAATGACGATTCTAATATTTCCGATGAAATTTTTTCATTTCTCATATAAAAAATCTCACTTTTCCCTACAAAAGTCATTCCTTGCTTGTTAACATCACTTATTATCATATTTTCAAGGGCATAATGTTCTGCTAAAACTATCTTCAATGACCATTGCCTTGCAAACGCATCAATCAAGCAAGAAATTGTCCACACAACGCGTAACTTAAGCTCTTCTTCAGTCAAAACTTGCTCAACTGTATTTTCTTTTAAATGACCTTTACATTCTTGAAATGAAGTAGCTCCAAGAACAATGCAACTCTTGATCCTGCTACCAAATTTTGCTTTCCATTTAAGCAATAGGCGAGTAATATGAGATACTATTAGAGGAGTTTGCAATTTAATTTTTAGGAGTTGCTTTGATACGTTGAAGGAACTGGAGAGATTTGCAAATGAACTTACTTAACAGAATCTTGAAAAGATTTAAGGGAAATAGCCTATGGTTTGATTTTGAGTTAATGGGTATGCGAGGAGGGATTGAGAGAAAAATGGTGTTTGTTTGAAGGATAAGAGACACAAAGCGTAAACTGAAAGGCAAAGAGTAAGAGATTTAACATCACTTAGTTTGTTAAAGATAATGAGAAGAAGTGAGTCTGGTAGAAGATCAAAGCAATTTTCTTCTGAAGGATTCATTAATGGGGTTTTGTTATGGATTTTGTTTGTATGGTTGAAGGGACGAAATTGGCTTTTGAAGATAACGAGAGTTTGGCCAGTTTGAAAAGCTAAAAGGTAAGAGGACAAGACAAATACACGACCAAAACTAAGGACGTGATTGAGTTAGAGCAGAAGTTGTTGACCTTCTTTTCCCTTCATTTTTTTAAGAAAAAAGTTATTTATTATTATTATTATTATTATTTGATGATGCATATTCTAAACGCAATACCATAACAAAAACGTTGTTCATAGAACACTGGCTTTTTTAATTATTATTTTCTTTAGTATGAGGTAGGCGTAGGCCTCTTTATTTATTGCTCTAAAATTTCAGTTTTTTTTTTTTTTTTTTTTTTTTTTTGGCTTTTTTAATTATTATTTTCTTTTTAGTATGAGGTAGGCGTTAGGCCTCTTTATTTTATTGCTCTAAAATTTCAGTTTTTTTTTTTTTTTTTTTTTTTTTTCTTAGGCACCGAACTTTTGAACCATAAGGTTATTAATTATTATCTTCCCAACCAAAGTACGCGGTTTTTTTTTTTTTTTTTTTTTTTTTTTCTTAGGCACCGAACTTTTGAACCATAAGGTATTAATTATTATCTCCCAACCAAAGTACGCGGATCCCTCCTGTATTATCTATATATATGCCGACTTGCAGGAAACCCGTTGCAACAGATGATATATTAGTCTTAGAGTAATCAGTTCACTTAATTGGTGAATTTCAGTTCAGAAGTTTTTATATATATATATTTTTTTTAAATAAACTCCAGCTAAAATTTAGATATCAGAAAAGAAATAATAAATATTAATTTTATTTCATTTAAAAATCTACCCACTCTTATTTAAGAAATATTTTATTTTTAACATATTCAAAATTAAATAAGTTTCGTGAATAAAGTATATAATTTGCACTCAAAAGAATGCCCAACAGACCTCGAGAAGTGAGATGTAACTAGAAAGAGTCATTTTAAATACTCGGGAGAAAGCGCATTTTACCCCCTTTTCAAGCTATTTCAGAAAATAGCGATTTGCCCTCTTTGTAAACCTACCTTAAGCGAATTCTAATTAATTGGGGTCATTATAATTTTTGATTAATGTGCTTTTCCCTTCAAGACAAAAAAAACCTGGATTAAGAGTATTGCCTAATCATTAGACTACTTTCTAAAAACATTTAGTTAAAGACATTTGCTAAACATTTAGTATTTGAGAAATACAGGAAAGCAAGGAGAGATTAATTCTATCCTCTGCAACTTCTATTAGACTACCCGCCCATTTCGCACGTTGTCAAGTTTATTTTGCAAAACCGAAACACCTCTTTCATCTCAGTTAATTTATGGACGCTTGTAGATGATAATACAAGAACCATCCGAGAAAACAGCTGGTGTCAGACAGCATTGAGAATAGTCACTCCAATCTTCAACTTAGTGGTGGTGGTGGGGGAGGTGGCTGCATCAACATTTGTTGCATAAAGGGTCCTCCAGGCAACTGCTGTGGAGGTGGTGGCTGCCGCCATACTTGTGGGACTCCCATTCCCATAGCCAGTGGCGGAGGCCTTGGGAGAGGGGCTTGAGCTACCTGGGAAGGGGGCGGTGGCATGTTTGGTGGCGGGGGCCTGAACTGCATTTGAGGTGGAGGCATAACTGGGGGTGGCATGGCTTGACCTGGCTGTGGTGGTTGAACTTGACCCTGCCAAGCAGGTTGTCCTGCTACCTGCATTGGTGGGAAAGCTGCATTTGGTGGGGGTGGTGGGCGGAGTGCTGGAATTGGGGCTGGAGGAACACCACCATTTGCAAATGGGCGTGGAGGCACTGGTGCACCGACTGCTCCATTGGCCTGAGCAACGGTTGGCAGCTTTGGAGGCCCACTAGCAAACAGAGTGTGAGGCCTGCTCTTTTGGGCACTAGGATTGCTTGCAGCCAAAACTCTCTCTGTATCATAATAATTAAACCACTTCTGTTAAAAATATGTAAATAGAAAACTTTACTACTGTATTTCAGATCAAAATAACTATCACAGTATACTTTGACCAGATAAGGAACCTCATAGTAAGAGGTTAGAAAATACGTAGCACAAGAATATATTAGAGCAATAAGTCGGTCTACAAGCCTCACCTGCTGGGGTACCATGACGCTCCCCTTTCGTGTCTTTCTTATATGCATACGATACAGTAATCTGACGGTTGCAAAGATATTGACCATTCATTGCCTGTTAAAATCCAGAAAATTTACATATGCTTCAGTAAGTACAAATCAAGTCATAGTGATTACTTAAATAATGAGACAAGGTATTAACTATCCAACCATTTCAGCTAGTAACCATTTTAAACTAAACCAAAGCTTCCTGTTAACCTAAATATAAAATTGAATCAAACAGCGATATTTAGATTAACCAAGCATAACCAAACTTATTTTTAGAGGTTTGCTTCAGTCCAGTTGATTTTAGTTTAGTTTTTAGGTCTAATGGGCAGAGAAGAAGAAGAAAAGATTTTTGGGGGGGAGGCAGGGATTGGAGAAGAAGAAGGAAAGAACGCTTCAGAAGTAGAACCGAGGAAGAACTTACAGAAAAAGGAGTCTTGCTGGGAAGGAAGAGCTAGAAGGAAAGCAGATGGCAAAAAGAATAAAGAGGGACTACTTGGCGGCGCTGCCTCATAGAGAAGATTTAGACAGCGTCACAATCTAAAACTATTGAACCCACCCCCACAAAAAAAAATAGAGCCAACTCTTTATCTGTTTTTCTTTTTTGGCTCGATGGCAAGAATGCTGGCTTGATCACAAACCACCACGAACTTTATATTTTTTTCTTTTTTTTTCCTGAAGCCAAACTAGAAACTTTCACTTCCAAACCAAACAAACTAAGGTTTTGAAATAATCAAACCAGATTAGATGAAAGGATAAGGGCCTTCAACTTTTTCATGGTCTCCCACTAGGTTCAAAATTAAGTTGTGGAAAAAGTTAGTACAAAAACTTTCAATTTAGGATGAGTTTAGCACAATTGTTTTCCAAAAATAATAAAAAATTTTTTTTTTTTCATTTTTTGATATTCATTTTAAAATGGAAAGAAAACTAAAACCATAGACAAATGAAGGACGATGCGGTTTTCCAGCTTCTTCTGTTCATCTTACAATCGATCCTTGTCAACCACCTCCACCACAATCATAGATTTCAACTATCAAAATCCCCCAGCTCCACCACAATCCTAGATTTCAACTACCAAAATCATCCACCTCCACCAGAACCCAAAACCCAGATAAAACTCTTACTCAAAATCCCAAATGATTGTGGCTCTACTCTCTTGTTGCACAAAGTGAACATGCTTCGCCAATTTGATGCTACTCCACTTCTCAACTTCAAACCAAAAACTGATTCAAACAATCAACCCACTGCACTTCTCACCCATATAGACTACTCCTGATTTGTCCAAGTTCCTCAATCTCATGCCTGTCTTCTTTTACAGCAACTTTCTGGATTTCTTTCCACCTTTATTCATTTTCGCAAACTTTATACTTTTGATTTTTCCCATTCCATTGGCACGTGCGGTATCAATTAGATTTTGGTTCAAGATTCTGCATCTAAGGGTGTAAAGATGGTTATGAAGAGAGCTGCAGTTTGGTGTTTGGTTGTGGATAATGGAGAAAGGATAGCATATGGAAAGCTTTTGGTTTTGGAATCCGCATTTTCTTTTTTCATTTTAAATGTCTTTTATTACTTTGAAATACAGAAATTACTTTATTTTTTTCTCAAAAATTGGGATAAGTTCATCATTAGTCCAAAGTTTAATTTACGATAATTGAAATCGCAAGAAAGATGAGGGGTCAAATTAAGCATCTATCCTAGATGAAATAGTTTGATGTATATCAGAAATTGAATTTTAACCTGATAGTATAAACCCCCTAAGCATCTAAATCCTGGATGAAATGATTTGATGATATTTTGATGCACATGAGGAATTGCTTTTAACTTATAGTACAAACCCCTAGTAAACAGGTATAATTCTCTCTATTTCTAAGCAATTGAAGTACTTCTAATCAAATGAACCAATACTATTTTCCTGGATTCATTAACTCCAGAAACTAATAATATTTCTCTGGAAAATTTGAGAACATAAATGCAAATGGAAAGGAGGGTACCTCAATTGCCGCATCAGATGCCTCAAAAGAATCATAGCTAATGAAGCCAAAACCACGGGAATTTCCAGTCTCAGGATCTCTCATTATCTGAAAAATATAAGTGCAAACCATCAGAAGACAAAAGCAAGTATGAAGTATGCTTCACATTTTGATGAAATTAGCAACAAAAATAATCAGAAAAAAAAAAGTTTTTATCAATCACATGCCTGTGTAAACAACACACACCTAGATGTTTCAAATAAATGAGAGAAAAATAACTTAAATTTGAACCTGCAACTTATGGTACCCACAAAGCCAGCTTGCTGTGCATAAAGCATGCCACATTAGTGGGCTTAGGGTGACCCAGCGAATATTTTTAATATTTTTTATTAAATGGATAATTCCATAATATATAATTACCCCACATTGGTGACCCTTGCTGTCTAGTAAATCAAAATAACTGTACTACTTCCACCATAGTTGTTAAATGTGAAAAATTAAACATCAGAACAAATTTAAATATAAAAAACCCCAGAATTTCTAACACTAAAATAACACAATCACAACATTAATGGCTCCATCTGCCTTAAAAAGATGAGGAGAATTAATGTGTAAGGTAATTATCATGTAGTTCAAGAATCAGAATGCTTTTTAAGTTCTTATTCCCAAGTGAGCATTCTTATAAAAAGGATGGTAAGCCTATTCTATATATAATAGTATCTAGGCCAAAAATAAGGCTAATATAAGATAAACACAAGACTGAGATAACCTGAATCCACTCTAAAATTTGATTAGTGTAGAGTCTATCCCTGAGTTCTATACAACTACTAAGGTCAGCAACATCAATTATCATGTAGTTCAAGAATCAGAATGCTTTTTAAGTTCTTATTCCCAAGTGAGCATTCTTATAAAAAGGATGGTAAGCCTATTCTATATATAATAGTATCTAGGCCAAAAATAAGGCTAATATAAGATAAACACAAGACTGAGATAACCTGAATCCACTCTAAAATTTGATTAGTGTAGAGTCTATCCCTGAGTTCTATACAACTACTAAGGTCAGCAACATCAGCCATGCTCTCATGACAGTCCAAAAGCTTGCACTCAAACCATGGAGCTTCTAAGGAAGCCCAAAAGGTTTATTTGGCACACCAACAGGAAACACCAACCATTTTAAACAAAATTTCTTTAGTTTTCATGTCACAGCAAAAAACAGGAGCCTCAACCCCCACAAACAGATACATGCACTCCTTCCGTTTCTTTAGCTGAGGAAGAGGAGGATTATAAGCACCCAGATTTGTCAAATTTGAGATTTCATAAGACTTGAAGATTTCACTAGCAATACTCATCAACAATGATCAGTTGGTCATTTCAAACTTCACAAAACAAGACAGATAAATATTATGGATCAGACAGGATGTATTTAGCTCTTATAGGACACGGGCTTATAATTTTATTTCCCTCCATCATTTGTTTGCATTTTTACCCAAAGTTCCTAGACACAAATTCAAACTAATAGTACTATAAAATCAGATGCAACCGAGATAAAGTTCAGGGGAATCACCTTGGGATTGGTAACTATAACTCCAAAGGCACTAAAAGTATCATGCAGAAGTTTCTCATCGACATCCTGCAAAATGTAAAATTGTTAGTTTCAAAATCAACGGTAACAAAAATATCCGCCACACCCAGCATTCTTTTGACAAAATTAAATCAACTTACAGGGTCCAAGTTTCCAATGAATAGATTTGCTCCTACATCCAAACTCTTTTTATCTTGCGATGCCTAAAACCGAAAAAATACAAAAATGAAAACCACAATAAGTTGACATAGCTAAAAATCCTCACAACCAAGTAACAAAACAAACAATCAAAGCTAATGAGCTTAAATTTTTTGTACCTTATTTACACGAATTGGCTTCCCATAAAGCTTAATCATATTCAAAACCTTAATTGCCTGCATATTAATCAAATTTACAGTTGAAGCAGTCCTTCCAAACTAATAAAAACAATAAAGAAAAGCCAGGCAATGCCCACTTGGTATAAACTTACATAGTCAGCATCTTCTTCACTCCTGAATTCTACAAATCCATATCCTTGGTGGAGATTTGTTACTCTATCCTTTGGAACATATACATTAACTACAAATAGAGAGGATAAAATTAGGAATAATATTAAACTAATGAAAAATAAAACTCACAATAACAGAAAGGAGAAGAGTTTAAAGAAAAAAAATTGAAGATGTTACCAACGGGACCTGCTTGAACAAATAACTCCCAAAGCAATTCCTCAGCCACCTGAGGATCAAGATTGCCGACGTATGCGGTGGCGTCTTGGTTCCTCTCCGCCGAGTGTTGGCCAAGTAAATTCGCTCCAACTCCAGGAGCGATTCGGGTTGTCATTATTTTTTTCAGAAATGGAAGAAAGGCTGGTAGTGTCCGTGAGTGGTTGGCGTCTTGCCGACGATGAGAGTAGGTGCCGCGGTGGTTTTCGAGGCGCGTTGTCACGAGGTGCGTATATTTACTTTACTCGTTTTAATTTTTTATTTATATAATACTAAAATATAATTTTTATTTAAAATGAAATAAATACAATAATTAATTTATATTGACTTCATTTATATAATAAATTTTTTTATTACATATCATGCACTCTAACATCTAATTAAAAAAATATTATTTCTACTTCCCTCTTTAAAATAACATTTTTTTAAACTCTAAAAATAGCCGTTTTCATTTATATTATGTTCCGATTATATTGTGGTCAGTTGTAATGTAAAAAATATTATATTAATAATCATTATCTAAAGAGATAATTATATTTTTAGTTTCTGAACTTTCCCTTCTTTTTATTTTTATGTCTCAATAAAAAACGGCAACAATTAAACTTTAATTTATAAAATTTTACAATTTGGTGTCTTGGTGTCTTTGAACGATGAAGATGTAGCAAGCAAAAAAATGATTATGCATGTGTTGAGTCCAATTTTTATCATACAGCAGCTTACTAGAAGGAGCTGAAATATTTGCCAGGTAAGCCCTTGATGATATGGAAACATTAGGAAATCACCATTATGACCTTTTTTATAATTGTCTGTAATTACAATCCTGCTGTCAGATTACTTCTTCAAACACACGCAGTTTCATCCAAACAGAACTGCATCGTTGTATCTATTTGAAGAAAATAGCTATTCGTTTGCAATAAGCACTGTGTTGAACAGTGGAGTCGCCTACTTATCCTCTTCTTCTCAACTCAACAAAGCCAGAGGCAGAGCCAATTAAAAATAATAACAATACACTATATATTGTATTAAAAATTAATAAAAATTAGAATAACCTAATAGATATAAAAAGATAACAAATCTAAAAACAAATGAGAAAAGAGATCATATGAAAATGCAAAATTAAAAGAAAAATTTCAAACCGATCAAAATATTAAAGCAAAAAATAGATCAAAAAGGGAACTCACCAAAATGCAAATTGAAAAATGAAAATCAAAGGCCAAATCAAGAGAGAGAGAATGGAGAAAAAAATGAAGGCAAAATCGAAGAAATGTTGCGGAGAGAGAGAGGTGTTAGGATACCGGCAATAAAAATACGAGAATAATTAAGCAGCGGAAATATTAAAATTGGGACACGCAGAAATTTACGTGGTTCACCCTCAACTGAGAAAATTACAGTGGTTCACCCTCAAACATGTTCAGGGCTACGTCCACGGGACCAACTCCGAATAGGACCAACTCCGAATATTTCTTCCACTATTAAAAATAGTAGGCTTACAAAGAGAGTAATACAAAATAGTGGCACTCACAAGTGTTTCTCAAAAACACCCTAATAATCTTCACTATTTTCTAAACCCTTAGTTGTAAGAACCCTTTCTTAAAACTCATAAAAACTCTCTATTTTTCTCACTTATTCTTTCGTTGCTCTTGTTGGTGCATCTGTGCTGAATGCTCCTGCCTCTATTTATAGGCAAAGATTTGAGAGAGCCGTGCATTGCTCATGCACGGCTCTTCATTATTTTCAACTGGCATGATGCCAACCATTCAATGGTTGGTTGCAACCTTTTGATTTTTTTTTTTTTCTTTTTCATAATTGTGTGGGTCCCACTTGAGTGGGCACGCCACCACCAACAAATCTCCCCCTGCACGCTCAGTGGGGACGTTAGCCATACTCTCCATCATCCCTGCAGCCTAATCGGCAATATTCAAAACTTGTCTTGGAAGAATCTTCGTTAAACATACTCTGATCCATTTTCATCTGTATGGATCTTCTCAAGCGTTGTTAACTGCTATCTTCTCCAATACCATCCCTGATCCACAATGATATCTAACATCAATGTGCTTTGATCTGAATGAAAGAGAATTCTTCCCCAAGATGAATTGCACTTTGGCATATCGCAGAAAATCAAATATCGTTCTTGATGAATTTCGAGTTTCATTCAAGAACTTCTTCAATCCACAACAACTCTTTTGCATGCTTCTGTTAGTGTTATGAATTTCAGTGCCTCAGTTGTTTGATAGAGCAACCACTTCTGCAATCTTGACTGCCATGACAAGCTTTCCCCTGCAAATGTGATTAGATACCCTGACTGTTGGACTTCTCGATGTCACATCCCCAAGCCATATCTGCATCGGTTATACCGACTTAATACTGGCTTCTCATTCTCCAAAGCATAAACATGTACTTTGGTCGCCTACCTCGAAGTACCTGAAAATCCATTTCACTGCAGCTCAAGTTCCTTTCCAGGATTTGAAAGAAACCGAAATCACTACTCCGACTGACTATGAGCATCATATCTGGCCGTGTTACAAACCATGGCATACATTAAGCTTCCAACTGCTTTGAAGCATATGGAAATCTTTTTCCCATCTCTTCCTTTCTCTCCATCAGTTAGAAAAGGGTCACTGTTTTTGAGCTTAATTTAAAGTTATGATTAGCAAGGAGGACAACTAACCGCTTATAGAATTTTCCATTTTAACCTTTGAAGTACTTTCTCAATGTACTTCTCCTGTGACAACCATAATTTCTTGGTTCTTCGATTTCTCGTAATCTTCATGCCAAGAATCTGCTTTGCTGGTCCTAAGTCTTTCATAACAAAAGACTTACTTAGCTGTTTTTTCAAGCTATTAATTTTGACAGAATTTTGACCAACAATCAACATATCATCTACATAGAGCAAGAGAATAATATAGTCATCATCAGAGAATTTCTTTACGAAGACACAGTGATCTGAAATAGTCTTTTTGTAACCTTGCTCCCCCATAACAGATTCAAACGACTCAAGACTTCTTGTTACCACTGTCTTGGTGCCTGCTTCAAAGCCGTACAGGCTCTTCTTTCAGGTTTACAAACATTAATCTTCTTTCCCTTTTTTATGAAACCCCTCTGGCTGCTCCATGTATATTTTCTTCTTCCAAATCTCCATGTAGGAAGGCAAGTCTTTACATCCATGTTTGCTCGGATTTCCAGATCAAAACTGGCGGCCATTTCCGAGCCACTGTACCGAAATGGATGTCATTTTCACAACTGGTGAAAAGATTCATCAAAATCAATACCCTTTCTTTGATTTGATCCTTTTCCACAACCAGTCTCTAGCTTTGAATCGTGGTTGGAGCTTGTTGTCCTGCTGATCCTGACAACACCCACTTGTTCTTTCAAAGCTTCTTCCTATTGGGCAACTTTACCAGCTCAAAGTTTTATTCTCCATGTAAGGATTTTCATTTTCTTCTTGCATGCTTTTCAATCCAGTTCCTTTGCTGTTCACTTTCCATTGCTTCTTCAAAGCATTTAGGCTTCTCCCCCGTCAGGTCATCAATACATATTCATTTTGCTGAATATCTAGTAGAATCTAGTAGATGGTTGTCTGATTCTACTAGACCTTCTTAATGTTTGAGAACCTTCTAGTGCTGGTGGCTGAACATGAACACCATCAAAATCTTCTTCTGGTTTATTCTGATAAGGAACTTCTGGATTTTCTAACTCTGGCTCTTATTCTTGTGGAACATTTTCTTTATGTCCAACTTGTCTTTGTTCTGTTGTTGGAGGAACCATTTGCACATCTGTTGAATCATCTTCAGATCTATCGGCAGCTTCCTTCTGAGTCTTTTCAACATCTTCAATAGTCTAATTTTCAACAAATACAGCATCTCTACTTCTTATCATCTTTTTCTGGAGTGGATCAAAAAATCTATAGCCAGCCAAATTGATCTTGGCCATAGCCAATGAATACACATATGTCGAGTCTTGACTCGAGTCTTGACATCAAACTTAGACCTCTCATCCTTAGGAATATGCACGAAGGCTTTGCAACCAAACACCCGCAAATGATCATAGGAAACATCCTTTTCTGACCATACTCTTTCTAGAGTATCATACTGAAGAGGAACATAAGGTGAATGATTTATAAGATCAACTGCTGTAAGAAGAGCTTCACCCCAAAATCTTTTTGACAACTTTGCATGTGAAAGTAAAAATCTGACTCTCTCAATCAAAGTTCTGTTCATCCTCTCAGCCAAACCATTCAGTTGCGGCATCTTGGGAGGTGTTGTTTAATGTCGAATGCTATGCTCTTTGCAGAAAGCATCAAATGGCCCAGTGTATTCTCCACCATTATCTGTCCTGATACACTTCAGCTTCTTGCCTGTCTGTCTCTCAACCAGGTTCAACAAGTTTAGAAATTGTTTAAAAACATCTAAAACTTGATTCTTTGGACTTTTCAAAAGTGTTATACCCAGGTCTTTCCTAGAAGGTCATCGTATAAATGTAACGAAGAGTATCGATTTCCACCATATGCATCGTTCAATGGTCCACACAGATCTGGAGAGAGTGGTACAAAAGGATCTAACACATTTCTTCATTCTTTGGAAGGCTGAGGAATCTTGAAGGCTACTTATTCTGCTTTTCCTGCCATACAATCAGGAAAACATTTCTCTAAATTTCTCTAAATGGACTTTATCCAAACCAGGTAGCATGTTGTTTTTAACCAGAGTTGTCATTCCTTTCTCACTCATGTGGCCTAGTCGTTTATGCTACAATTCAACTGCACTGTCATCCTCTGCTACATTAAAAGCATCTCGGGAGAGCTTCGCATGCATCACATACAGCTTTAGATCTTTCTTTCCATTTGCTATCACCATGGAACCTTTTGTGAGCTTCCACTTGCCATTTCTGAAGGTGCTACAGAAATTTTCATCATCAAGTCTGCCAACCGAGATTAAATTTGAATGCATGTCTGGTACATGCACGACATCTTTTAAAATTCAACAGTTTGCCGTCTGCTATCTTGACCACACCCAGATTTTCTGGTGTGTAAGATGAAAAATTCTCTCTTCGGGATGTTGCATGAAGTGTAGCCCCACTATCAATTACCCAATTGGTCTCTTGGGTTGCAAGATTGATAGTGTCTTCAATGAACAGTTGGAACTCATTATCCAATAACTAAGAATATTTTAGAATTTCTAAACTTTTATTAAGGTTATTATAAGTAATCTCATTTTTCTTCATATTCTCATATTTATT